ATGCACCAATCACAGCTGACCTTTGTGATATAAATGATACCGTGCAATCAGTCGACCTTATCGCCTAAAGAAGACTAGCAGTAAGCAGTCGAAACATCACGACCTACATTTAAAGTGACTACATCGTGTGATAAACGATAATACTCTTTATTATTGCATCTACCACGATGAATAACAACAAACTTTTCCTTGACAACTTCACCTTGTTTTAAATAACATAAACACCGACTATAAAGACAAATGTTTCAACACTTATGATCTTCCAATACTGCAACTTAGCAGTGTCAAGCAAGTGTTAATTGAGGAAGACAGAACAGATATTATGGAACAAAACCATGTAAATTGTCTTTGCAGAAGTCTTGCTTCTTTCAGTTGATATCTAGATCCTGTCGTCAGAGATGGTGATTGTGCATTTAGATCAGTGATCATGCATTTAGATCAGTCATCGTGCAATTATGTAAAACCAAAGAGTGGAATGATCAAAATGCGACACTAATGGAACACCTAGTGAGTCTTGGACTTGGGAAAGGCCCACTTGAAGACGTCTTTTAGCTTTGTTGACGTTTTGTTGACACTGTTCAAAGTAATGAACATCAACTTATGTTCTCAGGTATTCCACTGGATATAATCAATGACAAAACCAAACGATTTTGAGACCAAGGATCATTTTGCAGCGAAATGTGAGATTTGGTGATCAAGGTATGCTTGGACATTCTGAAGGTCTCCATTTTTCTCATGATGAGCATGAATGGCTGCTCTTATCTCCCATTCATTCCAGAAGAATGGAGCAACAATATACATAGCATATACTGCTCGTGGTCCTAGCCATTATGATGCTACCATGTTGATTCCTGCTTAAAATACAGGTAAGGGACTTGGGAGCCATGGGAAGATAGCATTAAAACCAACATTATAGTCGAGGAGCATATGTCAAGATTTAAAGTTCTGTGAGAATTTTGTGAAAAAAGCAAACCACGTATGTAGTTATGTTAAGGGCACTCTAAGGAACATGGAAAATGTCAGCAATTTTGTAACTTGCACCTACGGCCGCTAAGGTGGGTTTAAAATGTGACATTTATGTCCCAGCATGGAAACGAGGGCAAGAACAGAGCAAGAATGTATTCCAGCAGAGATTGCCAGACACAAATCGAATTGGATTGGCCACACACTGCAGAAACCAACATCTGATACAACCATACAGGCCCTTGAATGGAATCGGAAGGGGAAAAGGAAGGTAGGATGACCAGTGAAAACCTGGAGGAGGTCAGTGGAAGAGGAGCTTGAAGAAGCCGACATCACCTGGACTATGGCAAAAAGAACAGCCACAGAGTCTGCTGGCGCAGCATTGTAACTGCCCTGGCCTAACTACTATGGAAATGAGGTTTGACCTTAAAATACCTCAAAATCATCATTGAAGCCAAAACTTTGTTATCTAAATTACTCATACAAAGCATTGAAATGTGTCTTACACTCTTAAGTAACTTCAAATTTATTCATCTGGTCATGTGACCATGATGGCATGGAAACGAGGCTTGACCTCAAAATGCCTTATAACTTGTTAAAAGTTATTGGAAACTAGACGCTTTGCTGCGTGTACCCAGGCAGTTGTTATACTGAGAAGCACTAGCTATATTTCAATTGAGCTAAATGTTCTCCATTTGAAGTTGTACGAAATTCAAGCGAATCTATGTGCCCAAGCTATTCTGCTTTTGATTGCATTTCTTGGAATTGAGTACTAGCTTATTACTTGTTTGCAGGTCTTTAAGACAAGAAATGAGTCAAGGTCTTTATATCAGCCTATAAACGTTTCAGTCTTTATTTTGCTTAGCCTTTGTCATTGTTATTTGCGTTTCTCAATCAAGCGAGACATTTTGAATGTCAGAGTTATGGCGGTGCGTGACATAGACCTACGAACACGTTTGTCAAAAAACATATGCTTATCTTGTGATTTTTAGCCCATTCAGAAGTTAAAGCACTTAGAAAAGTGCTTATGTAAATGCTTGCTTGTTCAGTACAGATAATCAGTTGCCTGGATAGCCAAAGTAAGTTCCAGATGTTTACACTATTTTCCGGTCGCAATGTTGGCGTACCATGGACGTACACCAACATCGTGGCTCCTTACTGGGCGTTGTAAATTTGTGCAAAATATTTCGATGAATATCTGAGCCAGGGAAAAAACACAGACTTTAAAATTAAGGACATGTCATCTTTATCAATCTCCTAACATCACAATTTCTTGATTTTATCCACTAAATGGTTTTCAAATAACCGGAAAGCTGCACCGTATGTATTGACATAACAGCAGGGGGCAACTTTTGAGGCGGTGGGTGGGTGACTTTGAAATAAAAATTCCTGCAAGTGCTTGTCGGAAAAAAAATTGCGTGCAGCACAAATGGAATAAAAAATTCCTGCATAGTTTTAAGAAACAATCAAAAAAATGTTACAAAATATCTTGCAGAGCATTGAGAAGAAAAAAATATCCTGCACACCAGGTTTCTAGAAACATCTCTTGCAGACCAGAAATCACCCCCCTCCTCAAAAGTTAAATGGTCGGCCCCTTTCTCATGGCTCAGTGTACTTATAGTGATCAGTTACCATTAATGTGTTTGTAAGAGACAGAGTTTTTCTTCACAATTTCTTGTGCGGCAAATCCTTGATGTGCTGGCTGTTCGTGCATTTTGTTGTTTGAAAGTTTTCCTTGCACCTTTTTTATTTTATTAATGCAATGAATTAACCTAACTTTGGCCAGAAATGATCTCTCAGTAAAGTCTGTCTTCAAGAAGGCTTGCAGTAG